GCGGGGCCGTGACAGCTGCAGGGCGGGGCCGCAACGGCGGCAGAAGGCTCCGCGGCAGCAGCTGCAGGGCGGGGCCGCGAACGCGGCAGGAGGCTCCGCGGCAGCTGCTGTAGGGCAGGGCCGCGACGGCGGCAGAAGGCTCCGCGGCAGCTGCTGCTGGGTAGGGCCGCGACTGTGGCAGGGCGCTCCGTGGCAGCTGCTGCAGGAGCGACGGTGGCAGCTGCTGCAGGGCGGCGTCCAGGGGCAGCCGCGAGGAACAGGGGCAGCCGCGGCGCGCGAGGCTGCAGCACGTTGCGCGAGCTGCGGGCGCGGCGCGCGGGGCTGCAGCGCGACGCGCGGGCAGCGAACGCGGTGCGCGGGGCTGCAGCGTGACGCGCGAGCAGCGAACGCGACGCACGGGCAGCGGGCGCGACGCGCAGGGCTGCAGCGCGACGCGCGGGCAGTGGACGCGATGCGCGGGGCTGCAGCGCGACGCGCGGGCAGCGAGCGCGACGCGCGGGGCGGCGACCTGGCTTGACGGGTCTGCAGGGGCGGCTCGCGGGCCTGACGGGCCTGCAGGGGCGGCTCGCGGGCCTGACGAGCCTGCAGAGGCGGCTAGCGGGCCTGATGGGCCTGCAGGGACGGCTGGCGGGCCTGACGGACCTGCAGGGGCGGCGCTCTGGCCTGACGGGCCTGTAGGGGCAGCGCTCTGGCCTGACGGGCCTGCAGCGGCGGCTCGCGGGCCTGACGGGCCTGCAGGGGCGGCTAACGGGCCTGACGGGCCTGCAGGGGCGGCGCACGGGCCTTACGAGGCTGTAGGGGCGGCGCGCGGGCCGTACGGGCCTGCAGGGGCGGCGCGTTGGCCTAGGGCAGCAGTAGGCAGCGCGAGGGCTGCAGGACGGCGCGCGCAGCGCAGCACGTCACAAGGCAAGGCAGGCTCAGGACAATACGTGGGGTAGCGTGGTAACCGCAACGGTAGGTGGGCCCGAAAAAAAAACGGTCCTACGGACCTAGTGCTCTGAAACCATGTTAGAATGTAGCAGCAGGGATGATTGAACTATGGAAGAGTTGGGTACAAATATGAAACCCTAAAGTGGGCTGTACCCCATATTGGCTACCCCACTACAGCCTAAACATGTATAGTAGATATAACGTTTGACATCCACGTCAGCCTGCTTCGCCCATACATCCCAACCACAAGCCAACTGCCTCGTCACCGCCCACCATCCATGACTCGCCCTGCATCGGAGCCGATCATCGAGCCCGAAAAAATCCTGAGCCATTGGATTCGACACCCCACGGGAATCAGAAGGATTGAATTCCTCGTTAGCTGGAAGGACCGCACGCCAACTGAGGATAGCTGGGTGCCCCTGGCCAACATCGAAAACCACCCTGCCCTGCAAGTGTACCTGAGGAGCCGGGGTTTCCGCGATATACACGCACTCGCGTAGCGGAGGGGGCTTCTTGGGGGGGGGGGGGGGGGGGGGGGTAGTGTAAGGAATTTTCTCGACATTCCTTAGCGCGCCCTGCAACATCGCGTACAGCAGCAACCGTTGTTCGCCCGTTACTGCTAACGGGGCTTCGCCGACTTCGCGCGCACTGTTTCACCAAACCTCGCACTGCAGGCCCGGCCGTGTCGGCCTACGCTTCGGGACTAGCCCGAGCCTCGCTGCCAGCGTAGCACTAGCTAGCTCGCACGCACCGCGTTACCGTTTGCATGTTTCGCGTATAAATGTTCGCTCATGCCTTCGCTCACATTTTGTACTCGTTTTGACACCTTAGTGCAATTCTCGCTACTTCGATTCATTGCACCCGTAACAACTGCTCATAACATGCAAATTCTGGGCAACCATGAGATGCGCGAGTTGTTTACTGCTACTCACGATGTCAGGAGAGGTTTCAGATTGCGTTCACAGCAAGTTCCCCCAAAGCGAACCGCCCCAAAGCGAACCGCGCAGGGCGAATATTCGGTCCAGCGTGGTAGTTTTGCAACCGACCACACCCACTCCACGTGCCATGCGAATGTGGATACATAGGTAGACGAGTTTGAGCGAAGTAGCAAACCCAATCACGTGCATGTAACCCCAGCAAAGTCAAGATCGTTTTGAACAACTTTTCGTGAAGCAACCCCAAATACGTGCTTCACAAATATCTGTGCACTGTTGTTTGGGGCGGTTCGCTTTGGGGGAACTTTCTGTGAACGCGATCTCAGGTGGGAGCCACGTCATCAGCTGCTGAATCCAGATGCCCGTGGCTGGCGCGACCATCCAACCAATCCCCGTTTGGCACAGACGCCAGCCGTGTCCTAAGTGCCCACCATCATCCATTCCAACCATACGATCGACGATCGACATCCGTAGCTTGTGGCGTGTCGACAGAAATCGGGGCGCATGGCCGGTGCATTCTCCCACCTCCCTTGGCCGCCATTCGCGGCGTGGCGCCTGGCAGGCATAATTGCAAGCCCTGCGATGCGGTGGAAAGACGGAGGCTCGCACCCTAGCGATTGAACGTCATGGTCAGCTCGCGGAAAGTTTATATTTACAGATGCTGTGAGTATCTTGCAGTTTAGGCTCTCAGCAAACACGAGATCTTGCACGTCTGCTCCTTAGATTTCACTCACATATTTTTTCTACGCAAGGACAGTTCTACCCAGAGCACACGATCAAAGTGCTAAGCATTGCCGGAGTTGCTTCTCTGCTGATCTTTCAGTCAAAACTATTCCGATTCAGCTACTACAGTCGTCAGGCTCAGGATGGTTCGTAGTACTAAGCCAATCACAACACCCCAACTCATCACTTCCCTCCTCGTCGCATCGCTCCTTGGGATGATCTGCGGTCCCGCGACTGTCGCGGCGTCGAAACTGGGCGATGCGATCAACCGGGCGAACGCGGTACGATAGTAGTTTCACACTGATACTTTAACATTTACGAGCTCAGCATGTTCCGTAGTACACTGCGAGTAGGGAGCTTTACTCGCGCAGCCGTGAGAGGGATCTCCTTTTCAAAAAGCTAGTCGAATCAAAACGACTCACATCGCGAAAATGGGAAGTTCGGAAAGCAACTCAAAATACACTCTTCCGTAACTTTCCCGATATTTTTTGCCTGGCATTTTCAAGTCAAGGTTCTAAAACTGCATACCGAACGTCACTTACAAAGCAACTTCCCCGTCACTCTTCCGTCACTAACTGTACACATTAACTCAACTGTCCAAGTATACAGTAAATCAACTTTTCCGTCAATTTTGAGCAACCCGTGCGAAAGTGTCACGACAACGCCACGTGGCATACGACGTACTCGAGATGAAACTCCGTTGTGCTGACGTGGCGATTAGCGTACTCTAACGTTAACCGTCGGATGCGAATCCGATTGACGCACGTGATCCTACCGTGTGGGCCAATCAGAGCCTGACATTGGTGTACAATAACAACGTACGATTGGCTGGCGATTACAGCAAAAACCCTGTTATGTGCGCACTATGATGTGCGTATCTCTTCATTACACAATTAGTATTCACAACGCATACACTCACTTAATTTGTACACCTACACCTAACTTGTAATGCACTGCGAAGTGTCTAGACCGGCTTCTCTACCCAACCTAAGTACAATCACTACGCCTTCACACAGATAACAAGCTACAAACTCTGCAAAGTTAGGAAACGATTATAACCTGCAACAACAAAGAGAAGAAAAACATGGTGAACAAGCAAAAAAAAATAACTTTCCGCCACTCACCATTCGGTTTCGTAATACCCGGGTGTGCTATAATGGGGAAAAATAAACACATTGCGCTTCAAGTTCACGGTAAGCCTGCAAGAAAAGGTACGGCCTGCAACACATGCAAACAAAGCGAGATGTTATGCATCCCGCTGAAGATTGCTCCGGCGGGGTTAGTTTTACAGGAGATTTTGCTAAATACCACGACTAATACTTATCCTTAGCATAGCCACACTCTGCGGTACAATCGAGGACAGTTAGGTAAACACAGAAAGCATGGTGCAAAACTGGAAAGAGAACGACAATAAAAAAACAGCATATGTATCAAACCTTGGTTGCTGCGTGACGATGTTCGTGCACTGCATGAAATATGTGCACCCTAGCAGCCCGCGCAGCCGCATGGCGCGATGGTGATGGCGCCACTCGCCATGAAGCCGACGCTGACGGCGCGGCTCAAGGACGACATCCGAAGCCGTAGCGGAAGATGCGCCACGCGATCTGTTTGATGCCACGATTATCCGTAGTCCCCAGGCTGGTAGGCGGAGATTTTCCGTCAATACCTGTTGGCGCGATTGGGGAAAAGAAAGACAGGGGCGGAAGAGAGATGGAAAAGAGGACGTCAAAGCGAGCGAGAGCGTGGTTAACTTAACTGCCTAAGTTTGACAACGTGAGGTTAGGGGATAGCAGGCAAAAGTGGAAGAGTCGAGGCTGGTGCGTTTAGAACAGAGCAAGACTAAGGAACTAGACGGAAGAGACAACAGTAAGTATCGTGAGCTTGCTGTGCGTTCGATGTGAAAATGGGCTGACCAATAGCAGCACAGAAGTCTGCCAAGTGTACGGGGTAGAAGTCTGGGGTGGGAATATTCGCGAAGGTAGAGTTTGGTTGTGAAGTGTTGGTGTGATGACGTGTAGATAACGAAGGGTCGTGATTGGTTGTAAAAGATTGTGAAACTTCACACGTCACTCAGGTTCAGGTTTGGGAAAAGAACGAACACATTGTATCCACATTCTCAAATTCGCTTGCCTTCGCGGCTGTCTACACTTTCGTGATTTTCGCTCATCTGCACACTTGGACAATGCAACTCCGCATCACCTTTCAGAATCGTTTTTGACCGTGCGAAACCTAGTGCGCTGTGTTCGCGTCACTTCGGGGTGACTTTTTTGGCGTTGGTCTTCGCTCTCGCAGATTGTGTACGGAAAGTTGCGATTTCGGGTCGTTGTTTTCTGGATACTTCGCGCAACATTTCCGCAATCTTTTCGCAGAAAAACCTTCGGAGGGCAAAAATCGCAACTTCCCTTTTTCGCGATGCACATCGCGATGTAAGTGGGGCACAACACAAATTGTTGTCGACAGCGCAACAGTGTGTCGCGGGACAAGGTTCTTATCCTCCTTGTATGCGATGGTTATTTCAGATGTTTCAGAATTCTAGCGACGACGTAGAATAGCTATAGAAACACCGGTAATAATATGGTGTGATAGCCTCTCAACCTAATTCAAGCGCATGAGGGAAGTTACAGAAATTCAAGCACGCCCGCCTTGCGTGTGTGTGTTTGTGTGTATCAACGTGGCGTGAGTGCGTGTCCACGTGGCGTGAATATAGGGCGGAGCAAGCGCGTCGCCCACAGAGCTCGTTCTCAAATCCAACGTGCATCTCAAAGCGTGGGTTCCCTATGAATCCACGTCTGCCACATGTCGCGCCTCGCCACGTGTGCGCTTTCCACCTCGTGCTACAAAACGCCGGCTACTTTGAACCGACCGCATACACCTCGCCTCACATCAACGTGCATTGTTTCCTCATTTCGAGCCCACCCCCTCTCGTCTCGCCTTGCTTGAGTCGACTGTACTCTATTTTCTACTCCCCTTTCCATCCACTCTTCCCCCTCTCTGGTCTCTCGCTCCTCCACCCTCCCCCTCCCCCTCCCTCCCCCCTCAGTACCCCACCCCCCTCTTTCCCCCATTCCACCTTCCCCCTCCTCTCCTCCCCCAGCGCCCTCCCCGCACTCTCGGGCGCGGCCAAGCTGACCATCATTGGCAATTGTACCGCCACCAGGTTTGTAACAAAGTTACCCGTTGTTGGCTAGGGTTAATGGTTGGGAACGGCCAGTTCAACGGGTCAGGTTGGTGATCTGGACCCCGCTCGGGCTCATTCAGTCACAAGAATGTGCATTTACTCTCACAACCACTGTCAGGGAGGGTTACCCGGCGGGTTACAGGGTTACCAGCTATAGGATGCAGCGACAGTTTCAACCATCCTCTTGCACCTTTCCCCCCACCCTCCCCTTCCTCCGCTCCCCCTTCACCCCCCACCCCCACCCCCAATCCAAACACCAGGTGCATCATCAGCGGGGGTGGCGCCTTCCCCATATTCACCTCCCCCTCGTCTGGCCCCACGGGGGGAGAGTTGACTCTGGTCAACCTCAACTTCCAGCGAGCGGCAGGTGGCGTCTTATTCAACGTGTGGGCGGCAATCAACGCGAGTCAATGCGGATTCGTCGGAAGCACGGCTCCTAGCGTTGGCGGAGGGGTGCTCAGGTGAGGGGAATGTTGCGGAGCAGATGAGAGGGTGGGATGGGTGCTCAGGTGAGGGTCAAAGCAGTGCTATGCGGATTCATCAGCAACACGACTTCAAGCGTTGGCGGAGGGTTGGTCAGGTGAGGGTGATGGGAAGAAGAGGAGGGGTGGTCAGGTGAGGGTGATGGGAAGAAGAGGAGGGGCGGTCAGGTGAGGGTGATGGGAAGAAGAGGAGGGGCGGTCAGGTGAGGGTCCACGGCACTGTATGCGGGCTTGGTTAGCAACAGGGGTCCTAGCATTGGCGGAGGGGTTTTCAGGTGAAGGGAGTGGACTGTTGGGGGTCTGATGAGGGAGTGAGAAGAAAATTTGGGTGTGAGTGATGGGAGGAAGATGAGGGAGCGAGAGGAGTGCTTAGGTGAGTGTGTGTGGGGCATGTGAGAGAGTGAGTGGTGCGGCAGAGAGTGTGTGTTGTGCGGCTGAGAGTGCGTGTGGTGTGGCTGAGAGTGTGTGCGGTGCGGCTGAGAGTGTGTGCGGTGCGGCTGAGAGTGTGTGAGTTTTCCACGTAAGTGAGTGCGTATGATGCATATGAGAGTGCGTACGGTGCATGCGAGAGTGCGTATGATGCATATGAGAGTGCGTACTTGCATGTGAGAGTGCGTATGTTGCATGTGAGAGTGCGTATGGTGCACGTGAGAGTGCGTACGGTGCATGCGAGAGTGCGTATGATGCATATGAGAGTGCGTACGGTGCATGCGAGAGTGCGTATGATGCATATGAGAGTGCGTACGGTGCATGTGAGAGTGCGTATGTTGCATGTGAGAGTGCGTACGGTGCATGTGAGAGTGCGTATGTTGCATGTGAGAGTGCGTATGGTGCACGTGAGAGTGCGTATGGTGCACGTGAGAGTGCGTATGGTGCATGTGAGAGTGCGTATGTTGCATGTGAGAGTGCATATGGTGCATGTGAGAGTGCGTATGGTGTGCATGGAATCATGCTACATCAACGGGAGGCCTGCACAAGTGTTGTTTGACGCGACTCAAAATTGTCAGTCTCATCTAATGGGATTTTGTGACTGATGAGCTCCTAACTCACTCCCCATTGCCTCCTATCAACGCTTCCCTCCCCTCCTCCCCCCCCTTTCAACGTCTCCCCAACAGCCATCACTCCCCCACCACCTCTTCCTTCGTTGCACCTTCCACAGAAGCACACCTCACTCCCTTAACACACTCTCCTCTATCCCCCACCCACCCCAACCCACCAGTGACTCCTTCCCTGAATCAGCCACCGCTCCCAACCGCTTCTTCTCGTACTGCACCTTCTACAACAACACGGCACCCACTGGGGGGGGAGGTGCAATCAGCATCAACGTGGGGAACCCCGAGGGCAGCATCAACGTGGGGAACCCTGAGAGCAGCGGGCCTAATGTGACGTTCGTGTACTGCATCTTTCAAAACAACACGGCAACTCTTGCAAAGGGTGGTGCCGTTAGCATTAACTTGGGGGATCCCCAAGGCAGTGCGGCTAATGTGACGTTTGTGCACTGCCGCTTCCGGAACAACAGCGCGTACCAAGCCAGTGGAGGAGCAATTACAGTGGCAGGGACTGGCGACATTCGGTGCACGAAGTGTTCGTTTGAAGGGAATTTCGCCGGTGAGTGTGTGTGTGTGAATGAGTGTGTGTGTGTGTGAGCGTGAGTGCAAGCGTGTATGTGCGTGTGTGTCTGTTACCTTCAAGTCTTCATGCATACTTGGGAGTCAGGCTCATACATGGGAGTTTTGTGTATTCTGTGGGCGGTCCTGTCAGTGCCACAGAGCTTTCTAGCATGGCTAAAGATCTAGTCCAGTAACACCCGCATTTCTGCCTTCCATCATCCCAGACACATCGTAGATAGGTCTCTTCTGGGGAAGGCCTCTTCTCAAATAGCACTCCCTGTCTCCATAATCACCTGCCCTTTCAAGAATCCCCATCCGTACCACTTCCATTGCCGGATCCTCAGCTCTCCCTGCTGTTGTTACTTACTCCCTCTCAGACCCTCAAACCCTCAGACCTTCTTTTCCATGCTAAACCTTGCTGCTATACCACCTCCTTTGTCCCCATCCCACCCGTCCACCCTCCAGGCTTGCATGGGGGAGGCATCTACTCAGACGGCGCCTCCCTCACGCTCTCCCAACCCACCTTCAAGAGAAACCGGGCCGTCGGCCCTTTCAATGCCCGCTGCGGCCTTGGCGGCGCTGTGTTCGCCATCCCTGGGCGCCGCATTCAGGTGTCTCTCCGCTTCTGCAAGGCCTTCTTTCTGCTCAACAGAGGCTGCATTCGGAAAGTAGCCGACCTGGCCCTAGCAGTGCCTTCGCGCGACTCGGAATTTTCGGGGACGTTGATGTTCTGTGGCGGGGTGAAGACCCTTGGGTACTCCGTGCCTGAAGGGTGGAAGGAGACGAGAAATTGCACAGCCAGGTGGGAGAAAAAAGGTGACTGGGTATGTTGGTTGAACAGCGAATAGAGGCTATGAAGCGCGGCCGGGAGAAGAGTGGGTGAGGAATGCAGGCGATAGCTGGGGGAGCAGTGGGAGTGTGTCGGCTGGGTTTGTGCTGTCCTGCCTCCAAGTGGGTTGCTAGTGGGGAGGTGATGCACGTCCAGGTTAGGAGTTATGGTTGGGCGAGGGAGGGAATGCATTGGGGTTGAGAGGGTGTGGGTGGGTGAGGGGGAGAGCATTGGGACAAGAACGAACGGAGAGTCAAAGTAAGTGCACAGCTAGTGCGTACCTGTGCGCGCGCGAGCGCGTGCGTGCGTGCTTGCGTGCGTGCGTACGTAGGAGTGCATGCGTGCACGAGGGGTGTGTGAGGTAGAGAGGGAACGGAGCAATTGCAGGCATAAGACCCGAAATCTGAGATAGAAGAAGAGGCACGAGCAAAGGCAGCAGCAGAAGAAGCAACACAGTGAACTGATCTTCTGTTCTTTCCCGTACTCCAATACTTGCAGGATCTATTTTTTTCCCTTTTTTCTAACTGGAAGTTGCCCTTCCGGGTTTTGAGACAGAAACTCGTGGGACCTTCTGTTCGTGACCTGCACTCCATCTCTTCTCTGTGCTCCCTTCCACCTGTGCTCTACTCCACTATGCTCCTGCTCTTTCCTCACTCTCTCGTCCACCCTCTCGCCCCCCCCCCCCCCCCCCCCCCCCCCCCCCACCCTCCTCCCCTGTTTTCTCCTCTCTTTATCCCTCTCCAAGATCCATCTTTCTCCCTCCGCACAGCACCTGCGCATGATCGCTGGATCTCAAACCGTTAGCCGCCACATTAAGAACCTGCCTCCAATCTTTCGTTTCTCTCTCCCTGTTCTTCCGTCCAAGCAGCACATGTCTCCAGTGATCGAGCCCTGCCTGTCATGCTTCAACGCCTGGCTTTTCAGTCAGCTCCTGGATTTTCCGTCAACGCTCACATTCTGTAACAGTCATGCTTTCAAGGCATGAGATTTCAAACACCAAGCTGAAGGTGAACCAATACCTAAAGGTGCCCTAACAAGCCCCTGCCGCAGATGGCTGCTACACACCTCGCTTGGCTACGCACCTGGCTATGCACCTGGCTACACGGCTACGCACCTAGCTATGCACCTGGCTAAACACCTGGCTACGCACCTGGCTGAATCGTCTCAACGGATGGCTGCCATGCAAGAAATACCCAGGCCTTGTGCTCTGCTTTTGTTCCTTAGGCTTCTTCCTCTTGCCGCCAGTTAATCAAATTCTCCCCATACGAGGCCTACAACCTATTCTGGAGCAGTTTTTGTTGGCCATTGAAATATTCCTATGGTGAGTTGTAGTGAAATTTACTCTGAGGTGCCAGGGTTTTTCTCTTGAAAGCTTGCGTTACACTGACACCTCAGAGAAAGTCTCGCCAGACACTCTGAATATCAGTGTCATGACAAAAACGCCTCTGGAAAACAGAGTACTCTAAAACAAAAAAAAACCCCTTTGCTCTCTAAAAAGCACCTCTTCATAGCCTAGCAAACCAACATGCATATACCGTTAGAATTAGACACCATGTTGCATAATACAATGGTGGCGCCTAGGTGCATATTGCAGTAGTGGTACCAGCAGCAAGTCCGATGTATGAGAAGTAAACCCAGCGGTGATACGGTACCGTATGTGTGAAAAGCATAGCACGAGATACGGTACATGCTGTTCAATCAGACACTAGGACATAGTGACACATAAAAGTAACACACAAACTACAATATATACACAAAATGCTTGCTATGGTTACGATCGCATGCCTGAGAAGCATGTTGCTGGTGTGTGTGAGGTGAGGAGCCAGCAGAAAGCAGGAGCTGAATTCGGCGAAGCATGACCGACAGGGATCAAATAGTACCAGCGCTGCTTGGATGGAGGACGGGGGGGAGAGAGGCGAGATGGGAGAGGCATGGGGAGGAAAGCAGAGGGTGGGGAAGGAGGACGTGAGGAGAGCAGTATGAAGAAACATGGTGCAAGCAACAGTGAAACAAGGTGAAAGAATAGCAGCTGGTCGTTCAATTGCATGATGGATTATAGCACCCTGCATCCCTCTCTCACTAGTTTGCTCAGCTTCTCACTCTCTAGTCTTGCTCCTGCTCACTACTTTTCCAACCCTCCCCCTAATGTGCATTTTCTCCCCCACTTTGTTGGCATCACCAGCCCAATGGTCTTGCTCCCACTGCACTCCAAAAACCCAGCGTTTGAGAACTCAATAGTGACTCGCCTTTTCTTCTCCCCCCTGCAACACACACACTCTCTCTCACCTGACTGCACGTGCACCTCTCTCACCTGACTGCACTTGCGCCTCTCTCACCTGACTGCACTTGCGCCTCTCTCAACTGACTGCACTTGCGCCTCTCTCACCTGACTGCACTTGCGCCTCTCTCACCTGACTGCACTTGCGCCTCTCTCACCTGACTGCACTTGTGCCTCTCTCACCTGACTGCACTTGCCTCTCTCACCTGACTGCACTTGCGCCTCTCTCGCCTGACTGCACTTGCGCCTCTCTCACCTGACTGCACTTGCGCCTCTCTCACCTGACTGCACTTGCGCCTCTCTCACCTGACTGCACTTGCGCCTCTCTCACCTGACTGAACTTGCGCCTCTCTCACCTGACTGCACTTGCGCCTCTCTCACCTGACTGCACTTGCGCCTCTCTCACCTGACTGCACTTGCGCCTCTCGCACCTGACTGCACGTGCGCCTCTCTCACCTGACTGCACTTGCGCCTCTCTCACCTGACTGCACTTGCGCCTCTCTCACCTGACTGCACTTGCGCCTCTCTCACCTGACTGCACTTGCGCCAATGCCCTCTCGTCCCTCACCCACCCTCAACCCCTCAATTGGCTGTGCATCGGCTCTCCACCCGTCACCCCTTGTGGGGACCCGCAACCCAGCCCGCCTTCTCACTGCTCTCACTGCGCCCACTACTCCTGCAGCACTCCCGCCCCAGCCAGTCACCCACTCCTTCCCCATTTACCCAATCAGCCGTCTTCCTCACCTGGCTGGGCAGCTCGTTTGCTCCGACCACCCACTCGTGATCACTGTGCCACTCGGCCTTAACCCATCGCAGAACCACACCACACCAGAAATGTGCGGCGACGCGGGCCAGACCGTCTGAAAGTAGAACGTGCGCGCTTTCACATCCTTGGCTGAGTTTCCCGAAATGGAGAATGAGCGGAAACGAACAGCTGTCTCGCTGTCCACTCCTGTGACGACGGCGTAGACAGCGCCGCCGACACCAGAAGAGTCGCCGCCAGCAAGGGAGGTGCCAAGTGCCGCATTTCCAGAAAAGGAGGATTGACCGAAATAGATGGCGGCGTCTTTAGAATAGACGGCTCCCCCAGATGCACCTGGATGGGTGGAGGGGAGGATGGAGGGAGGGTAGGTGATTCCAGAGAGAGAACGTGCTGTTTTAGACGAGGCCTCTCTTAAAAGGGGTCGGTTAAAAATCCGGCTTCCATTAGAAGGGAGAGGTGGAGATGGATAGTAGGCTAGACGATGGAATACCATACAGGGTACTAGACATGTAGGAATCGTAGAGAACATGCTTGACTCAAAAGGGCTTTTGCGTTGACCGAGAAGACTCAAAGGTCAGCTAAGAACAGAAACATGCACACACAAGCGCGCACACACACACACACACACACACACACACACACACACACACACACACACACACACACACACACACACACACACACACACACACACACACACACACACACACACACACACACACACACACACACACACACACACACACACACACACACGCACGCACGAACACGCACGCCCACACACCCAGGAACACACAAGCCCACACTCACCAGCGCGGTTCGCACTGAACACACAGTCAAAGAACCGCACCCTGGCTGACCCCGCCACAGACACCGCCCCTCCCAGTCTGGACGCATTGTTGCTCCTGAAGTGGCAGCTTCGAAAAGTGAGATCAGGCACGCGATCGTTGTGCTTGTAGGAGTAGAAGCTCTTGGCTTTGATGGTGATGGCGCCGCCTTCCCATGTTCCCGCCGTGTTCTTCTCAAAGGTGCAGTTTGAGAAGACGTGCTTGGGAGGGTTGGTTGAAGGCGGGAAGGAGTCACTGGTGGGTTGGGAAGAGATTAGGGGGGGGGGGGGGGGGGAGAGGGAGGGGGGGGTGGAAGGCAATATATTATGTGTTTGTGAAGCATCGTTCACCAATGGTCGTAGTGTGCACCAATGCTGCAATGGAAGGTGCAGCGCAGGAAGAGACGGTAGCGAGGGGTGGTTGTCGCAGGAAAAGAGACAAAAGTGGTTGGGGGAATACAGAAAGGCGGGGTGGATATGGGAGTGGGCGAGAGAACATTAGAAGGGTGGGAATACGACAGTGCAGGTGGGAACAAGAGTCGGTTGGGGATATCAGAGTGGGGCAGGGGACAAGGGAGGGGTGGGGATGGGAGGGTGGGGAAGGGAACGAGAGAAGGGTGGGGACGTGAGAGTGTGCGAGGAAACAAGAGCTTTTTTAGCAAGCAACGTGAGTGTTACTGTAGAAGGTGCTGCGATAAAGGGCCTTGTCACAAAAGGTGCAGCAAGGGCTGAGATGATCGAGGGGCATGACTGTCGAAGGGAAGGTGCTCTTGATTGGCAACCATGGTGTGGTGTGACGTGGTAAAGTGTGGTGTGGTGTGGTGCTGACGAGTGACCAATTACTCTTATACACGTGCATAGAAGGTGATACAAGGTAACCAGCACCACACACTCTAACGTGCACCACGTGCTCTCACCTGCACCACACACTCTCACCTCTGTATCATGAACACACTCTAAGTGCACTCACAATCTCACCTGCTACATACACGCTCACACATTCTCACGCCACACACACAATCACCTGAAAATCCCTCCCCCCCCTGTCCCTCCCCACCCCACCATCACTCTCAACTCCTCACCTGAGCACCCCTCCGCCAATGTCAGAAACTGTGTTGTTGACGAAAATGCATTGACTCGCGTTGATCGCCGTCCGTACATTTTTAAAGACGCCTCCTGCTGCCTGCTGGAACCTGAGGTTAACCAGAGTCAACTTTCCCCCCTTGGGGGTGGTCGAGGGGGAGGTGAATATGGGGAAGGCGCCACCCCCGCTGATGATGCACCTGGTGTGGAGAGGGGGGAGAGAAAGAGGGTGCGCAGAGCGGAAAGAGGAGAGAGGAGGAGAGAGGGTGCGATGAGGATTGTATTGAGCAACGACGATGTGAGCAGCTGAAGAAGTGCCAACTAAGGAGCGTTAGTGTGGCTGTGACCATTGAGAGTGTGCATTGCACGGCAATCTCAAGCTGGTAACCACCGCATGGATACCACTGCACCCTACAAGAGCTGGTAACCCAACAGCCTGCTGTATAAGTAACAAAGGATGTGATAGTAACTGCACCCTCTTGTGATCACCACAGCCCCGGTTTGGCCTGAATCGTCTCAAACGACGCGCTGATCCTACCGTTCTTGTCAGAATCCCAACCACTAGACCATTGGGATAAAAGGGCTTGTTAAGTAGCGGGTCAGTGCGCCCATAACCCCCCAGGACAACGAGCCTGTAACCCTTCTCTAGGATCAATCGGGGATCACCAGTGGACCTCTAACACCCCCCCGCACTGGGATGCCCGAAGTGCACACACTGGGATTCGAACTTGAGACCTTCGCTCTGATACCATGTCAGAATCCCAACCACTAGACCATTGGGATAAAAGGGCTTGTTAAGTAGCAGGTCAGTGCGCCCATAACCCCCCAGGACAACGAGCCTGTAACCCTTCCCTAGGATCAATCGGGGATCACCAGTGGACCTCTGACAGTTCTCAAGGGACCCTGCTAGTGCTACTACTACCAATGGTAGCTTACAACCCACGTTGTAACCCTGTTACGAACCTGGAGGTGGCACAAGCGCCCCTGATGGTCAGCTTGGCCGCGCCTGAGAGTGCGGGGAGGGTGCTGGGAGGAGGGAAGAATGTGGAAGAGGCTGGGGAGAGTTTTGGTAGGTGGAAGGGAGTCGGGGAGGGAGGCGAGTGAGGAGGGGAGTAGGAAAGGCAGTCTCTTTCATAAACTCAAGCAAGATGCGAGGGAGGGTGTGCATGTTGGAGCACATGCTCACCACGCGCTATACTAGCCTAAACACTCCTTGAGGGTCTGCTTCGTGGGAAAGGAGGCGTGATGTATCGGTACCTATAATCGTTCATATGAGCTGGCATGCGCGCAGGTGGCGAGACGTGACACGGTGGGTCGACGGGAACTTACGCGGTGAGCTCCACGTTGGACGTGAGAACAACTTCTGTGGGAGACGCGGTCGCCCCTCCCTGCATTCACGTGGACACGCACACGCACAGGGTGGATGCATCGCGAAAATGGGAAGTTCGGAAAGCAACTCAAAATACACTCTTCCGTAACTTTCCCGATATTTTTTGCCCGGCATTTTCAAGTCAAGGTTCTAAAACTGCATACCGAACGTCACTTACAAAGCAACTTCCCCGTCACTCTTCCGTCACAAACTGTACACATTGACTCAACTGTCCAAGTATACAGTAAATCAACTTTTCCGTCAATTTTGAGCAACCCGTGCGAAAGTGTCACGACAACGCCACGTGGCATACGACGAACTCGAGATGAAACTCCGTTGTGCTGACGTGGCGATTACCGTACTCTAACGTTAACCGTCGGATGCGAATCCGATTAACGCACGTGATTCTACCGTGTGGGCCAATCAGAGCCTGACATTGGTGTACAATAACAACGTAAGATTGGCTGGCGATTACAGCAAAAACCCTGTTATGTGCGCACTATGATGTGCGTATCTCTTCATTACTCAATTAGTATTCACAACGCATACACTCACTTAATTTGTACACCTACACCTAACTTGTAATGCACTGCTAAGTGTCTAGACCGGCTTCTCTACCCAACCTAAGTACAATCACTACGCCTTCACACAGATAACAAGCTACAAACTCTGCAAAGTTAGGAAACGATTATAACCTGCAACAACAAAGAGAAGAAAAACATGGTGAACAAGAAAAAAAAAAATAACTTTCCGCCACTCACCATTCGGTTTCGTAATACTCGGGTGTGCTATAATGGGGAAAAATAAACACATTGCGCTTCAAGTTCACGGTAAGCCTGCAAGAAAAGGTACGGCCTGCAACACATGCAAACAAAGCGAGATGTTATGCATCCCGCTGAAGATTGCTCCGGCGGGGTTAGTTTTACAGGAGATTTTGCTAAATACCACGACTAATACTTATCCTTAGCATAGCCACACTCTGCGGTACAATCGAGGACAGTTAGGTAAACACAGAAAGCATGGTGCAAAACTGGAAAGAGAACGACAATAAAAAAACAGCATATGTATCAAACCTTGGTTGCTGCGTGACGATGTTCGTGCACTGCATGAAATATGTGCACCCTAGCAGCCCGCGCAGCCGCATGGCGCGATGGTGATGGCGCCACTCGCCATGAAGCCGACGCTGACGGCGCGGCTCAAGGACGACATCCGAAGCCGTAGCGGAAGATGCGCCACGCGATCTGTTTGATGCCACGATTATCCGTAGTCCCCAGGCTGGTAGACGGAGATTTTCCGTCAATACCCGTTGGCGCGATTGGGGAAAAGAAAGACAGGGGCGGAAGAGAGATGGAAAAGAGGACGTCAAAGCGAGCGAGAGCGTGGTTAACTTAACTGCCTAAGTTTGACAACGTGAGGTTAGGGGATAGCAGGCAAAAGTGGAAGAGTCGAGGCTGGTGCGTTTAGAACAGAGCAAGACTAAGGAACTAGACGGAAGAGACAACAGTAAGTATCGTGAGCTTGCTGTGCGTTCGATGTGAAAATGGGCTGACCAATAGCAGCACAGAAGTCTGCCAAGTGTACGGGGTAGAAGTCTGGGGTGGGAATATTCGCGAAGGTAGAGTTTGGTTGTGAAGTGTTGGTGTGATGACGTGTAGATAACGAAGGGTCGTGATTGGTTGTAAAAGATTGTGAAACTTCACACGTCACTCAGGTTCAGGTTTGGGAAAAGAACGAACACATTGTATCCACATTCTCAAATTCGCTTGCCTTCGCGGCTGTCTACACTTTCGTGATTTTCGCTCATCTGCACACTTGGACAATGCAACTCCGCATCACCTTTCAGAATCTTTTTTGACCGTGCGAAACCTAGTGCGCTGTGTTCGCGTCACTTCGGGGTGACTTTTTTGGCGTTGGTCTTCGCTCTCGCAGATTGTGTACGGAAAGTTGCGATTTCGGGTCGTTGTTTTCTGGATACTTCGCGCAACATTTCCGCAATCTTTTCGCAGAAAAACCTTCGGAGGGCAAAAATCGCAACTTCCTTTTTTCGCGAAGTGAGTTCGTTTCTTCGCCCTTGAGATTGTCGTGTTTCAGCCGTCGTGCGGCGTGAAAACGTCTTATGACGCACTATCGTTGGCACTGAATCAACAGAACGCATTTAAAACCAGGGTGCACATTCAACGCGGTTCGGCTTGAGATGTTGGGAAGGGGGTTTGGAGAAAAACAGTGATTGGCTCACGAGGGGCGACAAAAAAATGATTCCGCTAGAGCTTCGGGCATTTCGTAGGTGGCGGGAGGGGGTGAAATGGCGGGAGTGGGTGAAACCGAATGGCGGGAGGGATGAAACAGATTGGCGGGAGGGGGGGGAAACGAAATTGCGGGGGAGGGGGGAAACAAAATTGCGGGGGAGGGGGGAAACGAATTTCGACGGGGAGGGGGAAATGAAATTGCGGGGGCGTGGGGAAACGAAATTGCGGGGGAGGGGGGAAACGAATTTCGACTTGAAGGGGTTGAAAGCACACCTCGTAACCCACTCAGTCAAGGGATAACCTTTGATGCACATTCAGCTGAATGTGCACCCCGGTTTTAAGCTGCATTCCGATGTCTCGCACTGAATCAAATGTTCTTCGTGGCGATCTCGCCTTCCCAGTGCCGTTTTTCACGCCGCGCGCGCATTTAAGGAACGCGATAGTAACTCGGTGCTCTTGGCGTTAATCTATCCATCCGTACCTGGTTCGCCTTGTTGATGGCATCTCCCAGTTCCGACGCCGCGATAGTAGACGCGGGACCGCAGATCATCCCAATGACTATCGATGTGACCAGGAGGGAAGTGATGTGCTGGCCGGCTGTGATTGGTTCCCTGCCACGAGCCATCCTGAGAATGAGTAATGCTAGAGTAGAATGCAGCTAATTTTCGGCGTCGCACTGAATTAGAATGCTCTTGGAGGATCAATCCTTACTCTATATTATTCACGAGATTGAGAACCACCTTGGTTCTTGGTCTTTGACATGCGGGATGCTGTTCACCGAGGCTGCAAGAAACTCACAATGCATTGCTGTAAATTCATACCAAAGGTGAACAGGTGCTCAAATTTGACAAGTACGCGCGCATTCGCGCTGATTGTGTCAATCCTTCCGCACCGCAGGATAATGCCTACCAGGCCCCACAGCGCGAATGGCGGCAAATAAGAAATGAGAGTGGGTGGTGAGGGGTGAGGTCGGATGGAGAGGGAAACGCTGGACAGGTGACATCAGCCCGCCAAGGTCCGTCAACAAATTTCGAAAGTGGATGGGATCTCGAATGGCCAACTTTCTTCTGACACATGCTGGCGTCTGGGTGGAACAGGGTCTAGAAGGGGCAGCCTAGCCAGCCAATGGAGTAACACTTTGAAATACAGTATCTGAATGTGTGACGCAACCTGAATAAAAACCTCCCCTCGTTTTGCAAGTCGCAGCTTTTGACGAAGCGTGCAGCACGCTCCGAATATCACGGCGACTTGCTCGCATAATGCGAGAAAACTGCTCGTGTAGTCTTGAACCGACCCGAGCTGCCGCCAAGTATGCAGTCTCTGACGCGCCGAAATAGAAGCCGCAATCGGCTCGAAGCGCGCCCGAAGCCCTGCGAACCACGCGTCCCACGTGCTGTACTGGGCGGTTTCGCAGAATGAACTCCAGGTGACGGCTAGACCCGTGGGCCCTTCCTCTTGCGACGGTGGCTCGTAGGCACGTGGCGACGTCACGATGACTCGCCACCAGTCCATGGTGGGGCCTCAGCAGCGAGACGAAGTATCGGATCTTCGCTGCGTCCGACTCGACGTAATTCGCGTCGAAGAAGACGTTCATCGTGAAGACCAACGATTGAACCGTCGGACCTCCACGCTGGCTCGGGTCGAAGCAGGGCGGGCGCTGCGGCTTGAATGGCATTGGTGCCACGATGGCGTGGTCGCCACTTATCGCCGCGAATTCCACGTGCCGACGAGCTTCACAAGGCTCCCGCGAGCTTGGCGCGACCCTGTTCCTCTCCATGCCAGGCATCGTGTGGGCGGCGCCATCACTGGCTGTGCCTGAGCGCTGTCCCACGCTGTCATTTTGTGTCGGTGTGCCTGATGAGATGACGATCGGCTCCTCCGATTGTGCAGGTGCATTTGCAGGTGCGTGTGGTGGCGCTGGAGTATTCACTGTGGATTGCTGACGTGGGGAGTCACGTTCCGCCGTGAGTGTCGCAATTTCGAGCGCCGATTCTTCGACTTGGCGCACGAGACGGTCGAGTTGCTCCTGCGTCAGTGTCGTGAGAGTGCATTCAGCCATGGCGGGGGTGTCGGGCAAGCTCAGCGAGAGCCTCTGTCGTGGCCATGCGTGCTTACGAGAGAGCACTACGAGCGGCGGTGCTGTTTCGCTGAGAGACGTCTACCCCCCCAAAATTTGAGATAGTGGGGAAGCGAAGGTGTGGGTGTGGTCCGAGAAGAGATTGTAGGCTCTGATACCAAGTGTTACGAGTGCAATTGAGTGAGCGAGCGAGAATTGCACTATCGAAGCAAAAGTACAATGAGCGAAGGCATGAGCGAAGAATATATAGCGAAACTACAGTGGTAACGGTAATGCGTGAAAATGGGGTGCGCGACAGGCCTGGCGCCGAGGTTGGGAAATGCCGAGGCGGAGGTCCGGAGCGCGGGTTACCAACCGAACCGTGAGGTTGGGTCGCGTCGTGAACAGTGGCGGGAATAGTGTCGAGGCGAATGTCGCGAGTGGTAACGGTTTACTGTTGGGTGCTGTTGGCGGAAACAGTGGTGTACGCGCTGAGCAAGGACGCGAAGTAAGGAAAATGAATTTTCCTTACACTAGGAATACGAAAGTTATCTGTAACTGCTGTTGCGGTTCGATACAGCGACGACTCGGGTAACTACTCAGTATCGAGTCAGTTATGTGTCCTTGTTGTCGCGCTGCTTTCGGCGAGTCAAAGATCGGTGACCTTTGACCTTCACTCAACCTCTTGCTGTTGTCTTTGTGTCAACCGCTTTGGTTGACTCG